ATCCATAACTACTATTCTTTTTTCACTGTTTTCTAAAATCAAAAAGGGTTTGTAACTTTTTACTGCCCAACTCTTAGATCCTTCATTGAACTGCCTAAAAACGTCTTGTTTGTTTTATGAGCCTTCACTAGATGGCAGAATTTGACATGTTGATATTACGTAGCTGTAGTTTGCAGTTTCTGGGAAGCAATCGAAACACTATTAACCCTGTGTATAGTGTCAACAGTTAAAGCAGACATTGAAATGAAGTAAGCTATATTTCTGGAATGAACAAAGTTCTACTGTTTAGAGTGTCTAAGTTTGTTTAGTGGATTCATACTCAAGGGAAAGCATAAGCAAATTTCACTTTACAGTGCAACCACATCTCTGGTGGCAACACATGGGAATTTGTGGTCTTTTTTTTTCACACTCAAGTAACGGAGGCTAGAAATGAAGAGAACCTTCTTTTTCTCTTGGCTTTGACAGCACATGCTAAAAATCTCTTCCAAGAAGTGTGCTAAAGCTTTTCATTTCGTTCCTGTTAAAGTTGTTCTCACTGACCAGCATGCACTTGGGCGACTGGTGATTTTAAGTTGTGAGCTCCAGTGCTTATGCCAAAATTCTCTTGACAGTAAACCTCTTCTCTTATCATGTCCTACAAAGAGCTTCTAGCAAAATGATTGGATCCTTTCAAGTTTAAACTAAGATTTGGCAACAGCAAATTAAACCTCTTTAAGATTTAAAGGGTTACCACTCACTAAGGACTTCAGCCACCATGTCTGAAACTGGTTCCTCTCAAGTGCCGTGTTGTGTGGAGTACTTCATATACTGGCCCAAAGTACATAAGGAGGTCTCATGCGCTGTTGGAATAAAAAAAACAACAAAAAAACAAAAAAAAACCAGTCTGCATAAAACAGTATTTATTTTTCATTTTGTGACCACTATTTTTAAAAAAAAAAATTATTTAATATTTTTAATGTTTTCATGCATTGCTTTGCTTATCTATTGACTAGGCTTTCGTGCCCTACGTTTTTTTCTGGTAGGGCTTGGTGGTGTTTTCTTGATCATCAGAGTTGTTTTTCGAAGCCTAAGAACCCAGCTGTTTAGAAAGGATTTTCACACTGGCATTTCTAGCTAGGGATATTTTCTTCCACTTACCTGCTGAAGCACATTTATATATTTCTTTATGGCAAAACCAAAAAACTTTAGTTGTGGTCTGCCTAATATTACCATAGCACCTCAGTACCAAGGGTAGGGATCCTGATTTCCGAATTCTTCGTTAACCTACCACATAAAAGCAAATTAGCAAATAAGAAATAACATGTTAACCTGACTGTACATCAAGATATTCTGCAGCTTATGGAGAAGCATTTTTAAAATGTAACAGGTGGAAAATTACACTGTGCTTAATGACTGATTTTTTTTTTAACTGCCAGTCCCTTAAGGTCACATTTGTCAAGTGTGTATTCACACATTCACTTAAATCAAGGGACTCAATGATTGCTTTATTTTAACCATCTTTTATTATTTTTAGAAGGAAACTAGCTTTAGTGGGGTTGCCCTATATGTTTTTCTTTTTGCTCTAAATATGCCATTGGGTTTTTGTGTGTGTGTGCGCGCGTGTATGTGATGAATTTTCAAAATTCACCATGACTTGAAGTGCAACGACAGATCTAGATGTTTGTTTACCAAGCTATGTGACTTTTCCCAAAGGATCTGTACTTTATTTCCTTACAACAGCTTGAAACCTGTTATTTTAAAATCTTTGAATCACTGTGTCTTGATCATTTTTCTATTGTGTGCCATAGACTTACCCATGGAACAATAGAGCACCTTCATTTTCGGACAACTACTGTAATGATGTTTTTAGGAAAAATGGAAGGTGCCGGGGTAATAGTGGCCAGCCAATGATCATATCTTAGACTTCAAATACTATAGCTGTCAGTCGATGGATTTGTTCTGTAATCAAGTGTGTAACTTTGTATGGGTGTCTTCACCCCTTTCTCTGCCACTAGCAACCAGAATAGCACTTTACCTTTTGGTTGGCTAGAATAAGTGGCTGGCTACCTGTTTTTCTCACTGTGGTGTGATTGGCTAAACAGTCTTTCATCAAAAGTTGAAATGTAAATTGAAGTCACATGAAAAATCACCTTCGGTTGTAAACCTCCAATACTTTGATTCTCCATCCATGTTTTCGTCACATGCTGAGTAAAAAGTGCCTTACAATGTAAAAATTGTACAGTACTTATGTTCCCAAGTAGCATCATCATCTTCTGGGTAGTAATTACATTGTGGTATGAATATTTAGAAAAATGGACCTCAGCAGTGTATTCACTGTTCATCTCTTAAGTCCTTAACCGTAGTTTTAATAAGCATGACATTATTTGATAAGTATATAACATGTACATCATTTCGAAAAATACTGCCATGACTGTCTTTTACGCATATTTTAGCTTGAAATTTTGAAGTGTCTTTTCTTTCTTTCCTTTTTTCCCCTTTTGTTTTGTTTTGTTTTCGTTATTGATACTCAACAGTGTAATCTTTGCAAGCGTATATTGAAGATTATTCTGGAGCATTTATTGCCTTACCAGAACTGTTAGTAAGAAATGTTCTTTAGAGTAGAAAGATAGACTTGAGTTTCTATACTTTAATAAGAGCTCTTTGTTCCTGGGGGGAGGGGGGTGGGGGTGTGAATTTTACTTTCATCTCAATTTATTAAAAACCCACAGTTGAAAGACATTTTATTTCAAAGATCAGCAATTTTAGAATTTCAGATAGTACTTGCTCAGGAGTACATGCTACTCAAGATATTAAGAGAATAACAAGCTATGTAGATCTACTGTTGAATCAGAATCTATGTACTTGAACAAATGTGTGAATCTTAAATATCTCAAAGAAAAAGAAAAGTGTTCTGAATGTTGTTGCTTTTTTGAAAAGCACTAAAGGTTAGACCAAGGTATACAGTTTTGTTCTAACAGGCATTTAGATTAATTGTAAAGATAAGGAATGCATTATGGGTCAAAATCAAACATTCCTCTCATGTTATGTATATTTTGTTCCTGTTATATTGGCTTTATTTTCAAAACTGTAGTTTGTAGTATTAGTTTCCTTTTATTGGTATTCTTGCATATACTATTCATTCAATAAATGAGTTATGACTTTCATGTTTGTATGTATGTCTTTTTTGTGAAAGGGCATAATGAAGCTCATTTGTAGCGGCAATAGGATCGTGGTCCCTTTAGTCTTCATTTCAAGATGAAATGCCTAGTCTGTTTAGTGACTTGTCATTAAACAAGTATGAGAGAGAACAAAAAGTGAATTTGAGTCCAGTTCAAGGTTTCACCACATGAAGGCTTCATCATGGAGAGAAACAGCAGTCTTTCAAGTCCACAGCAGAACTGCGTTACACCTTGGTTCTTTTATGATTACCTGATTCGGGTACCTTTGGTTGAAATTGGGTCCTCTGGAACCTAGTTAGAAGGTGATTTTGAAAATGAACCAAAACTCCTAGTGTGGTTTATCTGGCTGGTAATAAGGATGGGGATTAATATTCTTGTGAAGGGATTCCACCTTATAGATTTAAATGTCCTCCCTTCATCATGGACAGCTGACTTCTAGTACAGTGCGCATATATTGAGGTAGTCGTATCCAGGGCAGAAATCAGTTTTTAATTAGTGGAATGAGCTCATTCCATACAGACAGGTCCTCACCTGCATTCCTACTCGAGAGGAAAAAAACTACGTAACAGGTTCTGATTAATGCTGGAACTATGGGATGGTGTGCCTGACGGCAAATGTCACCCAGTAGTGCTTGGCATGCATGCATGCGTGTGTGAGTGTGTGTGTTTAAAGTCCATTATTTAGTTTCATTTTGGTTTTTTAAAGACTTCTAAAAAAGATTTTATCTAAAAAAATATATATATATTTTAAAGATTTTATATATTTATCTGAGAGAGAGAGAATGAGAGACAGCACGAGAGGGAAGAGGGCAGAGGGAGAAGCAGACCCCCCGCTCAGCAGGGAGCCCGATGCGGGACTCGATCCCGGGACTCCAGGATCATGACCTGAGCCGAAGGCAGTCGCTTAACCAACTGAGCCACCCAGGCGCCCAAAAAAAAATATTTTTAAGTAATCCCTACACCCAAGGTGGGGCTCGAACTCACAACCCTAAGATCAGGAGTCACACACTCTACCCACTGAGCCAGCCAGGCGCCCCTATTACTTAGTTTCATTTTTATAACCACCATAAAAATCCGGAGAAGGGGGTTCTGTGGTTTTCTGGAGCTAATTGAAACTACTGACAGCTGGGGACCTCGGGGGGTTTGTTGTTTTTTTCTCCCCCAGCTGCAGTCATCAGCAGTTGCGGAGGTCATTCTAAAGTATAAAGCTGGTAGAATTTCCTAGGAAAATTCTTTGGCCAGCAAAGGGCCAGTCCATCTTTTTAAGGGAAAACCCTCCTTATTTATATACCGGAGTCCTCAGCTGTAGAGACAGTGCTGCTTTATAGATCAACCAATGTCACACAATTTTGCCTTGTTTAGATAATGAGGTATCTGGACATTAAGGACGTAAAGCAAAAATGTATTCTCGATTTCTATTCAGAGGGTGAAAACGCTAAAGTTACTTACGAAAGTTAATGATAGCATTTAAAGTGTTACACTGTAGCAGACATGTTCTGCACATGGTCAGTGTACTGAAATCATTTAGACCTGGATCTTTGTCAAAAGATAGGAGGTCCATAAATATCCACATTATGGGGCGCCTGGGTGGCTCAGTCGTTAAGCGTCTGCCTTCGGCTCAGGTCATGATCCCAGGGTCCTGGGATCGAGCCCCACATCGGGCTCCCTGCTTCGCGAGAAGCCTGCTTCTCCCTCTCCCACTCCCCCGGCTTGTGTTCCTGCTCTCGCTGTCTCTCTCTCTGTCAAATAAATAAATAAAATCTTTTAAAAAAAATATATCCACATTATGCCTTTGTCTCTACCTCTCTGTGGCTATAAATATGTTTTTACGGTGGGGGTGGGGGTGGGGCAGTGCCAGGGAGATAGGGAAGATGAAGCTGGGCAAAGAACTAACTAGGTCTGCTAGGTGAATGATAATGATCTCAAAAACAGACGTACGTGGAAACAAAAATACTGTTTGAAGGGGCAGACCTTTGAAATGGGACCTGAGAGAGAGTATATTAAAGTGTTAGGAGCAGGAAGATAGAAATAAACTGTGCTTTAATATGGACATTGGATTTAGAGCTGCTGAGTTTCTACAAAGTGATTTGTACAAAAGGGTGAGGTTTTTCTTTTTCTGAGTGTTTTTTTTTAAATCAGAGCTATTTACAGATTTATTTGTCTTAAAGATTTTATTTATTTATTTGACAGAGAGAGACACAGCAAGAGAGGGAACACAAGCAGGGGGAGGGGGAGAGGGAGAAGCAGGCTCCCCGCTGAGCAGGGAGCCCGATGTGGGGCTCGATCCCAGGACTCTGGGATCATGACCTGAAGCCCCAGGACCCTGGGATCATGACCTGAGCCGAAGGCAGACGCTTAACGACTAAGCCACCCAGGCGCCCCAGATTGATCTTTATTTATTGAAGTTATACATGGCCGTGTAAAGAACTGGAGTACCGATCCCTGCTTGGAAACTTAATGCTAAGAAGCCAGGCACCAAGGATCACATCTTGTATGGTGCCCTTTTTTTTTTTTAAAGATTTAATTGATTTATTTATGAGAGAGAGAACATGAGAAGCGAGTGCACGAGATGGGGGTAAGGGCAGAGGGAGAAGGAGAAGCAGACTCCCCACCGAGCAGGGTGCCCGAGAAGTGGGGCTCGATCCCAGGACCCCAGGACCAGGACCTGAGCTTCTGAAGGCAGACGCTTAACCGACTGAGCCACCCGGGCGCCCCTGCATGATGCCCTTTATGTGAAATGTCCAGAAGCAGCAAATCCATAGAGCCAGAATGCAGATTAGTGGGTGCCAGGGGCTGCAGAGAGGGGGGGGGCCCCAGGGAGCGACTCTTAGCAGGTACAGGATTTCTTTTTGGGGTGATGCAAATGGCTGGAATTAGGTAGTAATGATGGTTGCACAACTTTGTGAATATACTAAAAACCATGAACTATACACTTTGAAAGGGTGAGTTTTATGTAACTAAAACCTCGATTTTAAAAAAGTACTCTGTGGTCATCGTACACAATTAAAACATACAAAGATCTGTAGGGCAAAATGCGAAACTCCCCCCGTTCTCCCCAAGCCTGCTCCCCAGTATCTGACATGCGTCCTTCTAAAGTGCATGTGTACATATATAACTTCTATAGTTTTTAGCATAAATAGGATCATGCTAGGCATGCAGTTCTGCACCTGTCGTTTTCACCTGAACAACACTACAAAGTGTCAGAACAACCAGATTTCTCGCATTCTGTTTAGCAGCTCCGATCCATGGCAGTGTGTGGAAGAACTGGAATTGTTCTGTCTGGTCTCACGTATGTCTTCATGTTCTTATGCAGGCCGTTTCTTAAGCTAAATTTCCAGACGTGGAACTGCTAAGTAAAAGGTATATATATTTAAGGTTATAATAAAAATTGCCATCCAAAAACTGTGCACCAATTGAAAAGTTCACCCAAAGGGATTAAGCTTCCCTGCTTTTCCTCTCCAAAGGAGTGCCTTTTAATGGAAAGAGTTATGGTACCTTCTTTTAAAAAACATGATACATGCTCTATGGAAAACTCTGGGGTTTTCATTTTGTCGTAAAGCCCATGTAGACCATATCTCAAAGTAGAATATGGCTTATTTTGGGGAAACTGGACACCATATCTCATTTGTGAAACAAGTCAAGGTTTTGTTTCATATGTATTAGTAACAGTAGTAATTGGTGAATCATTTCCCTTCCTCCTGCTTTCTGAAAAGTAACAGATTGTTCAAAGCTGTTCATTGTTGCCAGATGGATCTGCTTCTCTGTGTGGCCAGGGTCATATGTGGCTCTGTTCGGTGCCCTTGAAGGGGTCGTGTACTGTTTTGCTGAAGAATTCCTATGACCTTTATCTGTCGTGATGGTTCTTACTCCCCAAATCATGAATATGTCTAACAACTAGTCAGCTGTGTAAAAACAAGAGGAAGCCACTGGCACTTTTCCCTTTTCAACTAGTTGTTTTGTCCTTGTATGACTAAAATCTAAGACAAACCAGACAAATTGACTTGATGTATATATCATACTTTTAGCTCATTTGCTAAAAAATGATTGTTTTCATTTAAGAATTTCAAGCAACAGTTACCTGCCTGTCTAAAAATAAACTGTTGGTAAAAAGAACACAAGTATTCAGTTATGCTGGTCAGTCAACCTGCCAGTTTCTAAGTAAAGAATAAATTGAATGTAGTCAAGGATGATCGATGCCACCCGAAAAGAAGTTTTTTCTAATTCTCAAAATCAATTTGTGCTAATTAGGTACTTATGACATTAGCCAAACAGCCATTTTATTTAAAAAGATTTAAGTCAGATGTATAACCTTACAAAAATAATTCTTTACTGTTTTACCAATAACCCAACCTTTGATCATGTTTCCCTCCACTCATTTCTCATATGTTTACGAAATAATGAAGTCTGTAAAGAGGGGTAAGAAAACACCCTGACTCCATTCATTCTTTTTGTAACTCTGAACTTCAGTGGTCAGTGGAGACTGCCGTTGCTTTCATTTCAGAGGTTAGCCAGACAATTTAACACAAAGGCTTATTTTCAAATGTCCCTGATCCTTAAGCCCAACTAGGCTTATGTTCTATATTTAGTATTGATTTAGTATTACCAGGAAGCAATCATTCTTGGGACCCTGGTTTCACATGTTCTCGGTTAGAGAGCAAGCACAAAAGATAAGCAGTCTCTGAAAGTTCGCAGATCAGAGAGCTGGAATTTTGGCATTATCCTCAAATACAACAGTCTTTCCGGACCTCCCTTAGAAAAGTCGTTCTTAAGCATTTCAACCTATCCCATGTGCCCAAACCACTTAGGGCAGCTATCCAGTATGTGGGGGCTGGGGGCGGGGACACGGGGAGAGGGGTTAAAGAAAACATATGTTGCTTAAGGGAAAGGCTTGACAGATGTGCTTTCTCGCTCCGGAAGAGGCAGGGCAGGAGAGAGAAGTTTTCGGCAGCCTTTACGGCATTTCATAACTGGGGTCACTTCATTCCATGAAATGCAGCCAACTCTAGGCCACTTCCTAGAAAGATCGGCACAAAACTTGGACCATTTCGCATCTTTATTTTTTTCTTCCTTTGATGCCCTCCTGGAAACTCTCTTACCTTAACTGCCATGATCTGTACCACCCCTCCAAGACTACTCCCTTCCCGACCCTTCTCCCCAGCCCTGATGTCAGTGTTCCAGTGCTCTGGTCTTTGCCGTCTTGTATTGTTCTCACTTATACCATCATCCGCTGCTCCAGCTGTCAGCTCTGTGTTCTGCTGAGGAGTCGCTCATCCTTATGCACAGTCGGCTCCACCCACTGAATAGTCTCAACTATTCTCCTGGGCATTTCTACCCAGTCTGCGGGCTACTCAAGCATGAGTCCCAAACTAAATTGTCCTGACCTGAATTTTATCTCTGTTAATGACACCATCAGTCGATAGGGCTACACTTGGTCTGCTTCCATCTCTACATCCGCTTGCTAAGTTCCTCAGAATCCATCTGTCTCTATTCTCACTGCTGAGAAACTAGTTTGGATTTTACTTGGTGTTGGTTTTTCCCTTTCACCTTTTGCCCAGAATCCTAACTTCTGCTTCCACTCCGCACCCTTGTTCCTCAGATTCTTCATTCCTTCGTTTTCTTTAGGGAGCAGTTCTTGGCCTCGCTTCCTGTACTACTCAGTCCGCAGGAGATGGTTAATCACCTCCTCTATCTCTAGACATCACTGGCCTCCACTTGCCTCTTCTCAATTCTCATCCACCCTTTTACTTTCCCCTGTGCCTAGAGTTCCTTCTACTGTTCCATCTGGGGAAGGCGACCTGCTAGAGGAGATCGCCACCACAAATACTGGTGTTTAGTCTCAGGTTCTCCACATCGGTCTTCAATCCTTTTTACTTGTCTTTCCTTTTATACTTAGAAACTATTACAAACATAAGCATACGGACTCTAGGTTTGGTGGCCCTGGCTTGGATCCTATGTAACCTTGACTAAGTGACTGAATCTCCACCTCCATGATCTCATCTTTAAAATGCCCATAAAAATAGTACTCCATGCATGGACTTGTGAGGATTAAAGGAGAGACCAGACTCAAGACTCTCCTGTCCCCCTTCTCCCTCTCCCACTCCCCCTGCTTGGGTTTCCTCTCTCACTGTCAAATAAATTTAAAAAAAAAGACTCTCCCATCCCCTGACACGCTTGCCCTTGTTCCTATGTTCCCTTCTAGTTTTACCCTGTTTCTCTTCTCTTCTCATATAATTTTCTTGAAAGTTGAGCCCCCACTTGACACCTCTGCTTCCATATTTTTATTAGTCATTTCTCAGCTTCATTGCGCTCACTTCTGTTCACACCTCTCCACCTTCTCAACTACACAGAAACTGTTCCAGCAAAGTCCACCAGTGGCCGTTGCTAAAGCCCGTGGGTCCTCTTCAGTTCTTATTTCCTTGACTTCTTGGGGTAATGTCCCTGACTGTCACAGCGCTGTCACATGGTTATTTTGCAGATAACCCAAGAACAAGAGTAACACATTAGATGACAGGACCGAGATTGGAAATCCTTCCATCGGCTAGTCCCCTTGCCACATGTGATCCTTTAGATGTAAAAGTAAAGCTATCCTGGGGCGCCTGGGTGGCTCAGTCGTTAAGCGTCTGCCTTCGGCTCAGGTCATGATCCCAGGGTCCTGGGATCGAGTCCCACATCGGGCTCCCTCCTCTGCGGGAAGCCTGCTCTCCCTCTCCTACTCCCGCTGCTTGTGTTCCTGCTCTCGCTGTCTCTGTCTCTGTCAAATAAATAAATAAAATCTTAAAAAAAAAAAAAAAAGTAAAGCTATCCTGTCACTTTGAAAAGTTTTTTGTATTTTTTTCACTACTCACACTTGAATTGATGCTCCTTGAACCAAAGTCAGAAAATACAGAGAAGTAAAAAAAACTTCCTATCTCCCCTAATCTTATGAACCATAAGGTCACCATTATATTTTTTGTAAAATCTTCAAACGTATCTGTGCATATATGTAATTATATAAAACGGGCGCATTTTATACCTAAGTTGTATTCTGCTTTTTGCACCTAAAAATCGGAAGTATCTTCACAGTTCAGTAAATAAACTCTATCATTCTTATTGGTTGCATAATAGTCCATTTTGTGGATCTGTCTTAGTTCAGCCGTGTCCCTATCATTAGATCATTAAGTTTCCAGGTTTTGTCATTGTTATTACCTTGCTATTGTAAACAGTGCTGATCTAATGGTGAAGAAACAGCAGAGAACCCCAGATTAAAGAATATTCTACTGAACAGCTGGCCTGTACTTGTCTTGAATGTCTTGAAGATCAAAGAAAAGACTGAAGAACAGTTCCACATTAAAGGTGATAAAGAGACGTGATGACTAAAAGTAATCTGTGATCCTGAATTGGGGACTGGCTCAGCAAAAAAAGAATTCTTGGTGTGTAGGACATTTGGGGGACTACTGACTAAATGTAAATATGGATTGAAGATTAGATATTATTATGTCAGCGTTAATGTCCTGATTTTGATAATTGTGGCTACAGGAGAATATTCTTATTCTCAGAAAATGTATGCTGATGTGTTTAGGAGTAAAGGTGTCATGTCTGCCTTTTACTGGTTCAGAAAAAGAAGAGAGAGAGTGTGTGTGTGTGTGTGTGTGTGCGCACGCGCGTGTAAAGAGATAAAGCAAATGGAACAAGATATCACATGTTGATGAATCTTGGTGGATGATATGCAAGAGCTCTTTGTACTGCTGCAACTTTTCTATAATTTTGGAAAAAAAATTTAAAGTTTGGCACACCAGCAGAAATAAGAGCCATTATTAAGGGAGCCTGCAGAAGGCCCAGGAGTAAGCTTTGGGGAGTCATCCTTCTGAAGGTTGACTTGGGAAGTCATCCTTCTGAAGGTATGGGGAGGGAAAAGGAACCACACTCTGGAGGAAGGAGCATGAACTATATTTGGATCAAGTAGCCTAGAGAGGAAGGCCACTAAGGAACCACATCTGGGGGAAAGAGCGTGAACTATATTTGGATCAAGTGGCCCAGAGGGAACTCTCTCCCTCCCCAGTACTTGGGGTGATTCCTAACCTTTTCTACTGGAGTACACCCAAAATATAGGAAATTGACCTTTTGAGCTGTTTTCACCCTTCAGCTGCCACTGTTTTGTTTGTATTTCAGTGTCCTCATCTATCTTAGGTTCCTTTTCATTTTGTTGAAGTAACATTTCCTTTTTTTCTTATAGGAAACATGGGTAACAAATGTTTGAAAATAAATAATGCTGAGATGAACATTCTTATACATGGAGCTTTCTACCCCTGTCTGATTATAGCCTTAAGATAAATTTCTTTTTTAAAAAAGATTTATGGGGGGGGGGTGCAA